TAGGGACTTTTTGGCTGAAATTAGAATTTCTAAAATTATTTAAAGGCTACTGGATGTTGTAATTTAATGTTTAAGACTTATAAAAATGTTGGGAAGCATGATTACAAGTAAGAATTAAGAACGGGATTAAACTAAGATTAAACAGTGAACCCGTGGGTGGATGATTTGAAAATTAATTTCTATTGTCTACTATTTTTGGAATTTTATTTCTCTGCAAAAATCTTAAATTGCGGGACATGTTTTTAGTTGTGATATAAGCATATAGTAGTTAAATATGTGTATGCTTAGTTGGAATTAACTGATGTTTAAAATCTGTTTTACATTGCATCAATTATGGTACTATTTGGAGAGGTAGATTGTGTAATCCTTCTTTGTCAATTTAACAAACTATAAATGGGATACTAAATCTTATATTGGATGCATAAATTGGTTGTATACATGCTAAAATATATTTATGCTCATTCTGGGATGTGGTTAATAAATAATTATACTGTGTTATTAATTACGTAAACTGGAGGATGGTATGCACCGGTATGGGACGGTGTCATACTAGGTACGGATTAGTTCAGACACTAAGCCCTACCTAAATTTGGATTAAGGTATGGATTAATCATAAAGGTTAAGTCCATCACCTACATGTGTTATATCAATTGTGAATTGAATGACCTACTATGGTTTCAGGATGGATTTGTTTTACATATATCAGACTATTACACAGATGGTTGGTATTCTGTATTAGGAGGAGTACAGACTTTATATATATATTATATAGTGCCGTTGTATGAGCTTGAGTCTCATGACCATGGTTAAGGCGCGTATATCGCCTAAGATGGATAACTGGACATAGGTGTTGTTCTCTGGTAGGTCTAGGTACTCATGCCCACCTTAAGGTGCGTATTTGCATGTTGCCTTCTATTCAGGCTGAGACAGACCTACTAGACTAGCGAGCATCCTATAGTGTGTATTATTTACATATATGGACTACTCTAGATATTGTTGAGTCTTCCTAGGATGTATTTGCGTATCGGATTACTGTTTGGACTGTAGTAGATTAGGACTTGCATGTTGGCCTGACCCACTCCTTTATTTTTTAGGTGTTCGTCAGTTCCAGGGTTAGAGCTTAGACGTGCAGAGCAGATACTTATAATCATTTCTTTGATTATATAGGAATCTTCTCTATGTTAGCTTTGGATTTTATTTCTATTATTTTAGTTTGGTTTGAGAATTTTTAATAAGGGGTCCAATGGATGGATTCCCGAGTTGTCAACTTATGGAGTTTTGGATTATCGGATTTGATTAACTATGTTATAAGGATTGTCTTTTAGATTCTTTCAGCTTATTAAACTTTATTTCTTAAATTCATTTTGTCATATGTGTTTGGATTACATATTAATTGTATGATATTTCCCTCAAGTTTGGGCCTGGGCCTGATCAACCCGTGTCTCAGATCCGAGGGGTATCACAAATACTGAGTAGGTAAAGGATGATGAATATGGAGTTCCCACAGGGGAGGAATAGTGCGGGAAGGTCATGATACCAAGCCCCCTCCCCCCCCCCCCTCGGCTCTGTATAACCTATCATTTATATATAAGAAGAGGGGTTAAAAGATTCGAGCAACCATCCCCTGAAAGACCGGGCCCTAAAGAAGAATCAATAGAAAGAGAGCGTCCTAGGCTAATAGATATATAGAAAGTGTGTAGTGAGGGATCTTTCAAAATACGCCTACTTATTCCGTATCTCGCATCATATGGTATAGGTGTAAAGGGAAGAACGAGCCAACCATTGAATGAATTATGAAATACGAAATCAATTCCTTTGATCCTCCTCAATATGTTTCCTTAGGTAGCCACCAACCTAAAGTTATCCTTAAACTTTTGTGCTTGGTGGGGAAGAATCGAACAAAGGTATGCTTGCTTGCTGTCGCCGGTACGCTTCCATTCTTTCCTTCCTTCTATCAGTAGCTGAACCACCATTGGCCTTTACGAATTGCTTAAGTAGAGTCGTCATCTTCCGTGAAATGTTATCTTCCCTTTCTTTCTCTTCTTTCTTTTTGATCCCTTTAACGATTTTTGGCTACCTTCACCTTTGATAATCAACGTGAATAAACACTTTGACTTAGTATTGGTTTGCTAGCATTCCTTCCTTATTGTAATAACAGAGCTTCTTCTTTGCCGTCAAAGGTAGCAGGATGATTGATTCACTATTCTGGTCATAGAAAGTCTGGACTTACTCTTTTGGATCCAAGTCGTCCAGCTGTTTTCGCTTGTGTAAGCAGGCTCGAAGGCCGTAGAGGTGAATAAAGTGACCCACGATAAGCAAAACTCCAAGCAATCCTTAAAGATTGAACCTGGCATTCATTTCTTCATGAATATGAATAGGGAGTTAAAAAAAAGAAAGCAAATGAGATTCAGGAACCTTTAGGTGCTCTCCTTCAAAAGTACCTAACCTAAAGCATGAAAGAAGTAAGTGGAGGATACGATAAAGATGTTTTGGGCACTAAAGTCAAGCGGTGCCGAGGATATAGTTAGCTGATCACAAAACAGTTAGCCTGTTACCACGGAGCGAAACCTAACCTAGGTCAGAGAGAGCCTCTAGCAGATGGCTTGAAATTGATTCTCAAAGAAACTATTTCACCAAGTAGTGCTAATTTCTCCCTTTTTAGAATGGCTCCAGTGGCTACATTTATGTTAAGTCTGGTCGCTCGGGCTGTTGTACCTTTTGAGTATGGTATGGTATTGTTAGATCTGAACATAGGGCTATTTTATTTGTTTGTGAACCTTTAATAATCAATATTCATCAAATTATTATTTTTTTCATTACCACACTAGGGGCACCATAGAGCCCACCGTCTACTTTCAAGCTAGTAGTGCAAAGGTTTAGCTACTAATTTATTAAGTATTAGTCAAATCTGTAATAAGGAGTTTCAAGTCAATTTTACTCAATAAAGGTGTTTTGTAACTAATGAAAAAGGTGAATGTGTCTTGAAAGGGACCAGAACTTCTGACAATTGCTATGTCGTTTACTCAGATCCTTCACTTATGTGTTTTTCCCCAGTTACTGATGAGGCAATCTTATGGCATAAAAGGCTTGGTCATGTGAATTTTATTGATTTGATAAATTTGTCTAATAATGATCTTGTTTGAGATTTGCTTAAATTGAAAATGCCTAAGAATGAAATATATGGCCTGTATTAAGTAGGAAAACAAACTAGAGTGTCACATAAGAGACTTCTTTATAAAGTCACCACTCGACCTTTAGAATTGTTACATATGGATTTGATGGGTCACATAACACCTGATAGAATTGGAGGAAAAAGATATTTTCTTGTTATGATTGATGATTATTCTCGATTTACATTGATTGCCTTTTTGCGAGAAAAATCTTATGCTTTTGTGAATTTTAGGTTTATTTGCCAACTAATTCAAAATGAGAAGGGGTATTGAATTACTCAGATTAGGAGTGATGATAGAGGAGAATTCGAACCTAAGGAGTTTATTGAATATTGTGATAAGTTTGGTATTAAGCATGAATTTTCAGCACCTAAAACATCACAACAGAATGGTGTAATAGAAAAGGAAAATAGGACAATAGCATGTATGGCTCGTACTATGCTTCATTAGAATAAAATTGCTAGTCGTTTTTGGGCTTAGTTAGTATGTACTGCTTGTTATATCCTAAATAGAGTATATCTTAGACTTGGAACTAAAAAGACTTCATATGAATTATGGTATGATAGAAAGCCCACTGTAAATATTTTAGAATATTTGGAAATAAATGTTATATCCTTAGAGATAGGGAACACTTGGGAAAATTTGACTCTAGAAGTGATGAATGTGTCTTTTTGGGGTATTCACAAACAAGTCAGGCTTACAAGGTCTTTAATCTTAGAACCAATGCTGTTATGGAGTCAATTAATGTTGTGTTTAAGATACAAGGTTTAAGATAATCTCTACTCAACTTGATGAGGATGAGACTGACTTTGAAATTGTAGGAGACAAGATGAACCTATGGTTCATGAGGAAGAAAGAGTTGAGAATTTAGGTAGAGAAGGTGAAGAGGTTGAAGAGGATGTTGATAAGGAATTAGAGGTCACCACTGATGAATCGATAGAAATTCCTGCACCTTTTTTAGACATTCCCACATCTAGTAGTTCTAGGGTTCGATCGAGTCATCCAGTGTACAATGTGATAGGCCCATTAGATAAACCAGGTACTAGGAGTATAGTCTGCAATGATCAATTTGGATACTCATGCATTGTAGATGATTTAGGACACTCATGTCACATGGCTCAGTTTGAACTAAAGAATGTTGATGAAGCTCTTCAAAGTTCTTATTGGCTTATGGCTATGCAAGAAGAGTTGCTTCAATTTGTGAAAAATGATATTTGGAAATTAGTGCCTCGACCTAATGATGTTAATATCATAAGGACCAAATGGATCTTTAAAAATAAACTTAATGAATATGGTCTTATGATGCGAATAAAGCTAGATTAGTTGCACAAGGATATACTCAAGTTGAGGGAATTGATTTTGAAGAAACTTTTGCACCTGTTGCTAGACTTGAGTCTATTCGTCTTCTTTTTGCTCTTACATGTTACTTTAAATTCAAATTATTTCAAATGGATGTAAAAAGTGTTTTTCTTAATGGTATTTTGTAGGAAGAAGTTTATGTAGCACAACCAAAAGGTTTTAATGAGCCACATAATCCTGATTATGTTTTTCATCTTAAAAAAAGCTCTTTATGGTTTAAAGTAAGCACATAGAGCATGGTATTAAAATTTAACTTCTTATGTAATGCACAAGGGCTTTCAAAGAGGGAGAGCAGATAAAACATTGTTTATTTTCAGGGGAAAAAAAAAATTTCTTATTGCTCAAATTTATGTGGATGATATTGTTTTTGGTGCTACTTGTGAAATAACTTGATGATGGGATTTTCATATCTCAAATAAAGTATGCAAATGTGCTAGTTAAGAAATTTGGTTTACAAGATTTAAAGCATGTATGCAAACTCCTAGGAGTACTTCATCTAAATTGGATAGAGACTCTGATCTTAAAAAGGTTGATCCTACCTTTTATAGGAGTATGATTGGTAGCTTATTGTATTTGGCAGCTAGTAGGCCAAATATTTCATTTTGTGTAGGTATTTGTGTTAGGTATCAAGTTGATCCTAGAGAACAACATTTTCTTATGGTCAAGCGTGTTATTCGTTATGTCAATAGTATATTGAATTATGGATTATGTTATTCTTCTGAGTCTAACTTTGAGATTGCAGGTTATATTGATGCTGATTGGGCAGGTAACAAGGATGATAAAAAGAGTACTTCCGGTGGTTGTTCCTATGTAGGTACTAATCTTGTTTCATGGTACAACAAGAAGCAAAATTGCATATATTTATCATCTTGTGAGGCTGAATACATTACTGCTAGAAATTGTTGCACACAATTGCTTTGGATGAAACAAATACTTATGGATTATGGATTTGATCAGGAAACTATTGCTATCTTTTGTGATAATACTAGTACAAGTAATATTTCAAAGAATCTAGTTTTACATTCTAGGACTAAGCACATTGACATTCGATATCATTTTCTTAGAGAATTAGTTGAACAAAATGTCGTGTCTTTGGAAAAAGTGCATACTTATCAGAATTTGGCTGACATTCTCACCAAGCCATTACATGCTCTTAAGTTTTCTTATCTTAGGAAATCTATAGGCATTTGTTGTCTTGATTAGAAGTATTACATAGACATAATCTAGAAAGAATCTTTATACATATTTTGAGTGTCTAGATTATGATTCTAATTTGATGAAGCTTAGTTTTTATGTTGTTGGGAAGTTAAGCAAATCATATTGATTGAGTATATTGAACACAAGAAGTTTAATGACACATGGATTATCTATGTAAAACATACTATGGCTATAAATTGATGAAATTGGTTTTGCTTACGTATTTCGTATAGTAAATGGATCATTGATGATATATTTACTTATTTTTGATATCATTGTGTTTTGACAAAGATGACATTGACATGATTAAGCATTGTCTTGGAATTTAAACTTACTTTATGTGGTTTAGACCAAAAGAGTGAAATAAAAATGAAAAACAGCTTGGAATGAAAAGTTTTGGAAAAAAGTAAAAATAATAAATAAATTGCTATTGAAAAATGTGAGAGTTGGAAAAGGCTACCTTGACTCGAAATAAATGGGAATAAGAGAAAGAGTTGGCTGCCTATAAGTGTGAAAGCTGCCATATGTGCAATAAAAAAAATGGAGCACAAAGAGAGTAAAAAAATAGGTTTTGCACATATTGATTGTTTGATTTCTTATGTAATATCATTGATTTATTGTCTGAAATCGAAACAATTGACAGATAATATGTTTTTGGAACTTAATGGTGATTTTACTACGCTTACTAAGTCTGTGAAACTTTAATGAATTGATCTTGGTTATATTCGTATTGTTTATATAGTTTTGTGGAGTCTATATTCTCATTGGATTCAATTTACAAGTTCTATATGGGTGGTTACTTCCTTCTTCTAGAATATTTCTTCCTTTTGACCTTTGTCAATTTTTGACAAAAAAGGGGGGAGAGAGTTAAATTGATCTTATTTAGAGGGAGAGATACTTTTCTATTAAGGGGAAGAATGTTTGATCATTGCATTTGCTGTGCTTTGACTTTTGGGCATTATTAGCTTTCATTGTCTTTTTATGCTTTTGTTTATCTTTCTTGATTTAGCTTCACTGGTAGTTTTTGTTGAGCTCATTACAGATTATAGGTTTAAGATGCTACAAGGGTTAGTTTCATGTGGTTCAAGAAAAATTCCGTGTTTCATTTCTTTGACAATCATGGTAATTTGTTTTTCTGCTTGGGTAGATTACATGTTGTTTTAAGGATTTTGTCACAAAATTGCCTAAGGGGGAGATTATGAGATATATATTTTGTAATTGGCTAATTTCGTTGTCAAAACAATCCCTATCGAGTTATAAAATTTTGGTTCAGAATTTCAAGATTGAAGATTGGAAACGGATTTTAAAAAGTTCAAGTGTTCATACTTTAATACACTTCGGGATGACGGGAATAATGCTTTAGAAACGTATCTGAGTGTGTGAGAACACTTAGGAAGTTTTTACATTTTACCCAACTTGAAAAGGTTCAAGACTTTTGGAACAGGTTCAGTTGTTGAGGCTTTTGGTTGAATTCAAGTCTAACTAACTTGAACCAGTTCAACCACCCTAAACGGATTCAAGTATCATAGAAGTTTAGATTATTTTCTTTGAAAAACTTACTGCCCAACTTGAACTGGTTCAATCATCCTAAACTAGTTCATGTGTCAAAGATGGTTTGTCACGAAAAATCTCTGGCTAACTTAAACTGGTTCAACCACCCTGAACCGGTTCAAGGTTTTCTAATTTGTTTTGGTAACTTACCTTCTTGGTCTGTTTTGATTCCTATTTGGTTTAGACTTCTTTCAAAATCCTATGCATGAATTTGACTTGATTTCCAAGTAATCTTAGGTCTTCCAAACTTCTATATAATCTTTCTTTCATTCAACATTGAGGTATCGCTTTTAGGAACAACAATTCATTATTTTGAGAAGGCCTTTTGAGAGATATTGTTCAGAAAATCAAATATGATTTTTCTATTTTTATTTAGAGAACACACACATATATAGATGAGTGATTTAGTTGAGTTATTCTCTATCTCATCGGAATTTGAGCATAATTGAAGATTCAAATATTTTGAAAAAATTGATCTATTTCTTCTACATCAAATTCAAATCTTGAAGAAAGGGGGTGAAGCGATCACACTTTGAAAAGGTCAAAGCATTTGAGGAGTGTTGTTTGATCTACCAGCAATCATTCTATAGAGATCAAGAGTAAGCTTGGAGTCAAGAGCTGTTGGACGGGACGTCGCAAAGTCGGAGATTGTCAGTAGTTGGGTTTTGGTGGAACGATAGGGTATGAGCCTGAGTCAAAGTCTATTGTACTTTGTTTCAAACATAGTGGATTATTTTGCTCTGGACTGCACAGTCCTTGAGGTTTTTCCCATAACAATTGGTTTCTTCTGCTAATTAGGGTTTCCTCGCTAAAAATCCTGGTGCCATCTCTCTAACTTTACTTGCTTTACTTTTCGGTATTTATCTTTGTGATTGTGGATGTTTTATTGATCATATTGCTTAGGTAAGTTAATCAATCACAAAAACTGGGTAACTTGACCTAATAATCTAATCTAGGTCATTTAGGAATTTAATCATAATTAAATCAACTAATAGCTTCCGCACCACGTAACTCACAAATGACACCAATTATCGATGGGGCGAGATTTGTGCTAGCTGGCCACGACCTTCCTTGGTCCTGGGTCTATGCATTTTTTTGTGAGAAAAGATGACCGTGACAACACTTCTGAGAAAGATGATGATTGAACAGTAGTCGCAGTCATTTGCATCAGCATTTTAGTTACTACTACTATTCAATCATCATCTCTCTCAAAAGCTTAAATGTCTCTGTTTGGCTCTAGATTGAACTGGGTTCCCAAGCTTGCCATTTGTGCCAGCCAATTGCTTAAGGGAGAAAAGGTGTTAAGAGTGGGGGAAAATGAAAAAGGGCATTCTATTTAGTTTAGAACTTGATTGGAAATATATATGTAAAGTAGGACTTCTTTGTCTTATAATTTTTTTTTTTTAAGACTTCTTTGTCTTTAGGGTTGAAAAGTAGGATTAGGGTGGAATTTTTCCTTATTTCTTTATGATTATTTGGGGTATAACCTAAATAATTTGTTTTGTTCTTATTTTTCTTTTGTTTTTGTGCCTAAGGGATGATCATTTGTAATTCATATTGTACTAACAATATATACCACATTCAAGGAAAAAAAATACAATATCGAATTTAAAGTAACGAATTCTAACAATACCAGAAACATGAATATAAAATACATCCAATTTAAAGTTATAACAGTCTTCTCTAAAGTAATAAACCAAATAACATTATAAATCACTCTCTCCAAAAGTTAATCCACAACTCATTTGTGATTGAATCATGAATTCCATTCATCAGTCGTATTTGATCTTGAGTAACTCTTACATCCACTGGAATATGAGGTGTTGTGGTAGAAGCTAGTTCTTCTTCTTCAAGTCTGACATTTTCATTTTCATATTCATCAAATAAACAATCTAAATGTGCTTAATCACGAACAAAATTGTTGATTGCGTAACAAGCAACCACAACTTGTGCTTGTACCTCTACATCATAATTGGGCATCAACTTAAAAGTGGGAAAAACATTTTTTAAGTACCCCAAAACAGCGTTCAATGACATTTCTAAGTGATGAGTGTCTATAATTGAATAACTCTTTATGACCTTTTACTTATCCTCTGCATCCTCTATAGTCTTGAAAATGATACTGAACACCATGGTAAGGTGCCAGAAACGTCGACATATTAGCGTATCTGAAATTAACCAGGTAGTATTTACCTGTCATACAAAAAAATCTACACATTAATATGTATTTTTAATATAAACAAAAACAACCTCATAACAACATTACCTTCAGCTGGTCTTGGAAATTGTATAATATGATTAAAGATAGTCTCAATTAAAACTCTCGAGTTATTTACACTGCCTTCCCATCTAGCCAGTACATAAGAAAATCGCATGTCAAAAGAACATATGGCCAAAATATTTTATGTAGTATTTGACTTCCTCCCAAAATAAGAAATTTGTTCTGATGTGCGTGGATATGTGTTCCATCAATTGCTCTAACATAGTTCTACATTTATAATATATTTGTATTAATTTACCATTAAAACCAAAAATATATATACATACTTTGTTTTTGAAAAACTAACCTTGAATTATGGATAATAATACTTTTCATTGTTCCGGATTTCAGGAGGTAGAACATTAAATTCTGGTAGAAGAATTATTTCCTGCCCCAATTTACATACATAATAAAGGAATTGATGGAAATATTTTAAGACTGTGGCTGTAGGAAGTTGAAATCTCTCTGCCACTACTCAAACTTTCTCATTGTGTGCCAGAGTATACAATAACATTCCAACTTGCTCTTCTACAATTAAGTACCTAGAATCTTTTTATCCTAACCCCTTTAACTATTCACATAGATTTAAGAAAACATACACTTCTACCCTGAACATTTTAAAGCATCTAGCAGGGTGACCTCCCAGTATTTCAAGCATATAATCATGGCCTTGAAGCCCAAAAGTTCTACATGGTCTTGTTTGTGACTTGGCCTTCATGCATTGCTAGGATCAACTGTAGGCTTGTTAGAATCTTACAATGTAGACCAAAGCTCTGATACCATTTGTTAGACCAAGATGGGGGGTGAATTGGTCAAAATAATCTTCTTTCTGGTTTACTGCAAGCTTAACAAATACAAATAAGGCATAGAACATAAGTTGTACAAGGAAACCTTCTCAATAAGGAAAAGCCTTGGTTCTTGGCCTTAGCCAATAATAAGCTCTACTAGTTGTATGCAAGTAGTTACACACTTAACTATATCTCACTCTTCACACAACCTTGTACAAGTTAAGACCCTAGTTTTTACAGCCTCTACACACACACTAGCTCAACATAGTGCTCACTGCCCTCCCCCTATCCTAAGCACCCTTGCTTGGACCCTACATGATATACCCCCGAATTTCCGAATGCGGGTTGGCTAGGCCCACGCCCGAATACCAGGGGATATAAAAAACAAATTGGTAATAATCGAACAC